TACAGCTCTTCTCCGACTGGCCTCCTTTCCCCCTACCAGGGCTGGGACACACACGGGGAGGGGGCGTGGGTTCCCATGCCAAGGGGGCTGCTTTATTTGATAGATGCTCCTTAGGCTGTAGTGTCCGGGTTTGAACCCTGTGCTGCCTTGGGCAAGCTACCTTACCCTCTCTGAGCCTTATCAACATTTTTTATTTGTAAAACAAGGCTACTAATAGATCCTCACACCTCTTAGGGTTGTTATAAGGCTTAAGTGAGATCACCCATGCAAAGTTCTTGACACAGTGCCAGGCACACAGTAAGGACACAGCCAAGGCCTCAGTTATCAGCTTTACCATGAGCTCCTCCTATGGGCAAGGCATGACAAGAAAGATGGAACTGATTAAGACTGGGACTTGAGGGGATAACAGATGGTAGATGGCAAGTCAGTGGCAAATGTTGTTAAAACAAGGGCCTGATACAGTGCTGGGGAAGGAGGAACCAAGGGGGACTTCCAAGAGGAGGTGATCTTGCAGAAGGAGCGGCATTTGAACTGGTGAAGATGGAGAAGAGGAAAGGAGAGTAGTTCAGGTTGAGGGACCCAGACTAGAGAGGCAGGGAGTGTAAGGTGTATGCTTGAGTGAAAGGAGAGTAGTTCAGGTTGAGGGACCCAGACTAGGGAGTGTAAGGTGTATGCTTGAGTCCACCTGCCAAAGACTGGCAGTGATGGTCACAGGCGCCGATGCACTGACCACCTACTCTGTGCCAGGCTCAAGGCTGTGCTTTATAGGTACCATTGCTTCAAGGTGGAATCCTATTATTAACCTAAAGTTACAGTGGAAGAAGCTGAGGCTCAGAGAAATGATCCGAGTTAACTTGCCTGATGTTAACGCAGGTTCTAATGGAAATGCAATCCCAGTTAAGGCCCGGCTCTTAACTGTCCCCAGTAAGCACCTCTGTATATCTAGGCAAACTAGTGGGAGAGTGGATTCAAAAGTGGGTTGAGGGTTAGTTCTCAAGAGGGCTCTAAGCACCATAGAAATGGTGCTGGATTTTACAGCAATAAAATGGCATAAAATGAAAGGGCAATTCCATGACAGGGGGGAGCCATGGAATGCTCTCGAGCAGGGAAATGTGCCTTGAACGGGTAAATCTGGTAAGCGTTTAGGAGACACTAGAGCATCAGAGAGGCTGAAGGTGAGAGGCCAGGTTGCTGGCTGTGGCAATGGGCCAAGGGAGAGCATCTGGGATGCAGCGGGGGTTCCATGGGCTTCAGTTTCTCCATCTGAAAGCTGAAGACGTAAACCCTGCTGCAACAGTGTCGTCACCTGAGCGAACGTCTCCCTAGGTGTGTGGGGCCTCAGCTCCCTCAGTGGACCATTAACCTGTAAAGCACTGTTTATTCACAAGGAATGGCTCCTGAGCCTTTGATAAAAGGATGATGTAGAACCCTCTTAAGGAAAATGCTGGTATTTATAGATGCAAAGGGGGAAGGCAAAAGGATAGAACCCCTTGTAGTCATTTCCAAGCCTGGCCTCAAATGACAGTGATCACTTGAAATTGGTTAATATTTTGATCGTGGGATGAAGGCCAAGAGCCTCTCCTTCATCTTACTCATTTTCACGCCCCATCCTTAGAATAAAGCTGGGGTCTTAGTCCCAGCCTCAGCTACACCAGTTCCCCAGGTGAAGATGGCACCTTGTTGTCCCAGTGGGGAGAGGGGAGCAACCAGGCTTCTACCATTGGCATGAACTGCCCGACTGAATAGTCTCATCTCCAGGGTCCCTTCTCCAGGGTTGGGACCACGGAAACTTGTGTCAAAGCCAAGATCTCATCTCTCCCCTCTTCTCTCAGAGTCGTCTTACTATTCATCATACTTGCCCTTTTTATTCATTCAACAAAATGTATTGAGCACCTACTAAATGCCATGCACTGAGCTAGGTGCTTGAAATATAGTGGCTCTGGACCTCACGGGCATTTACCTTAGTGGGTGGGTGGGGGAACAGACAACATACAAACATACCAATAAGTGAGTAATTGAAATCGGGATTAGTGCTCCGAAGGAAACATGGCAAAGATTATCAGTGGATATAGGGGGAAGCCTTCCTTATGAAATCATGGAGGACATCTCTGAGGAGGTGACATAAAGCTGAGACCTGAGGGTAAAAAGATTGAGGCCTGCAAAGAATCAAGGGAAAGCGGTTTCCGGGAAGAGGAAACAATATATACACAAGACTTGCAGTAGAACATAGCATGTCTGAGAAACTAAAAGGAGGCTGGAATGGCTAGAGCTTGGTGACCAAGGGGAGAGTGGCCTGGGGTGAGGTCAGGGAGGCAGGCAGGGGCCAGATACTGATGTTCTACAGTCTTGTAGACCTCAGGAAGGAGTGTAGATTTTTCTCTAAATATGATGGGAAACCTTTGGAAATTTTTTAACTGACTCATCCAACATCTATTCTAGTCCAGCCTCCACTTGGGTAAAACTAGAACATTCTTTATAGTCTCTGGGCTTCAGTTCCCCATCTGTATGTCTGGTCTCTAACTATCTAGTTCAGATATTGTAGAATGCTAGAGGCTCAGAAGAGAGGAAGAATGGACTGGCCAAGAAGGAAGGGACTGAGGCTGGAGGGGGGCGGCGTGTGGCATGCACTGACCTCTCTGCCATCCGAGACAACAGCACTGACACAGGAAACGCCCCTGAGAAACCCTGTATCTTCATGGCCCAGAAGGAGGAACTGAAGCCAAAGAGGAGGGGGGCTTGGCCTCTCTCTCAGGTAGGGTCTGTGACCCCATCCCAATTCTGCCCTCACCTCAGAAGCACTGGTCAGAGTCAGATGCCCCCTGTGCAGACGGGTAGCAGCTTCTACCTTCCAGAAGGCCAAGGCTCCTGCCTCCTTGGCAGAATGAGTCTAACTTGGCTCCTGGGCAGCCATTTCCCTCAGGACCCCACATACCTCCCCTTGGCCCTTCCTTCCACTGTCTGGGAGTAAAGTGGGGAAAGGCCTTTAGCCTTTGGGCAGAGTTACTCCCAGTCCCTTTACCTGCCTGGGGACAACAGTTTCCAAATAACTTCTGAGACCAGATGCTGAGTTGGGCTGGCAGCTTCTGTGCCCAGAGAAAAGAGGTGATTTGCCTGACATCATATGGCCTGGAAGCTCTTCCAGGTCTCGGCCAGTCCTCTGACCCCCATGTGCCCACTGTCTCCCTCTCACACAGTGATGGCCTCTCTCCAAGTCTTGCCCCTGTGGAACCTCCCCATCCATTTCCAAAGTCACCTGATCAGCAGGCAGCAACAAGGAACAGGGGAGCAGGAAAGTGGGCTTCCTGCTCCAGGGAACGGACGCAGAATTGCAAAACGCTGAGGGTCAGTGGCCCCAGACATCTCTCATGTAGGGTTTTCAACAGGAGTTTATGGATAAAGCTTCTGGGAGCCTCTGGAACCCCTGAAATTGTCTGCCATATTAGGCAACGCTCTTTTCTAGGGAGAATATTTGTACTTTCTACCAGATTTTTCAAACGAAGGTACAAGACCCTCCCCTTTAATGTCACAGTTGGTAAAACTGAGACTCAGGAAAGATAAATGATTTAAGAAAAGCTGTTGTTTAGGAGATTAGTGCACAGGCTCGCTGGTCAATCTGCCAAGGGGTTCAAGCCCTAGCCTCACCATTTACTGGTTATATGGCTTTGCTAAAGTATTTAACTTCTCCATGCCATAGTTTCTTCATCTTATAACTGGGGATGATAATAGTACCTACGATGTTATAAGAATTAAATGAGTTAATACAGGCAAGATTTTAGGTCAGTGCCTGGTCCACTAATAAGTGTAACATAAAGGTTAGCTGTCACAATTTAGCCAAGGTCACAGAAACGAGGGGCAGAGCAGGGGCATAAGCCCCAGTTCTCTGCGGCCTCTGGAGGCAGACAGGACTCCCCAGAAGGTGGTACGATTACAGCCAGACCTGTAGCTGCTGACGAAGTCCTCCTCAGCATCTGTCCCCTGGGTGAGCTGGGCATGTGTGGAGACGTGGGGGTGAAGAGAGAGAGGAGGTGGGGAAGTCCCAGGCTCACTCCCAGCTGGGGAAAGGGGAGGAGGGGCTGGACATCAAAGGGTGGGCAGGCCGACTTCCCGCCCCCCAGGCCAGGTGGCCTTTGTCAGGACAAGCCGGACACAGTCAGGACAATAGGGTATCATGTTCACTTTCCGGCCAACAGGAGTCACTACCGAGCCAAGACTCAGCCTGTTACATGACAAAGGGGGGATCTATAAAGGAGGTCAGGCCGCCCCTCATTAAAGCTGGGCCTTTGTCCTGCCCCCTTCCCTGCCTTTGAAGAGGGTGGATCAGAGAGGCCTGCCTGGGGGCAGGAGGTTCACAGGCTTAGGAGCCAAACAGCAGCCACCTTCCCAACTGCTCCTGCTTTCCCCTCCCCCAGGGTCAAGAGTTCAGGAAGGGCCCTGGAATGAAAAGGTAGGGAGCCCCCCACCCGCCAATTTAACCAAAAAAGGCTCTTATTTAGTCCAAAAGATATGACCCACCAATATCTTCACCGTATGGCTGGGGAAACTGAGACCTGGAAAGTGACCTGACCACATTCTCACGATCAGTGCACCATCCCTTCTGGGGCGGGTTTGCAGCCTCTGCTTGGAGTTGGAGTAGGAGTGGAAAAAACGGATGATGATTAGGGCCAGTGTCGCTAAAAGAGCCCTGGGTTAAAAGCCTGAAACCTGGCGCTCTAGTTCCGGCCTTGCCACGAAACCACAGAGCAAGGTATCTTCACTTCTCCGGGTCTCCGACTTGCCCTATCTAGACAGAAAGACAGGTTGTGTTTACTCGGGCTGGGATTCCGAAGGGGAAGCCAAGAGAACAGACCCCTAGGGCGAGAGTGGTCAGGGAGGCCGCACTCCGGAGAATCCAAGCAGGGCCAGGGCAGAGGTCAGACACGGGGCGGCCAGGGCCTTGTCCTAGCACCTGCCGGTGCCCAGGGGAACCGTCCGGAGGCGCAGAGCCAGGGAGGGGTCCTTACCGCTGCCACCGCCGCCTCCGGCCGCCACGCTCCGCCGCATCCACTCGTAGGGAGTCCGCCTTTGCACTCCTGGCGAGGATGGCGCGCCCGGGCCGCCAAGGGGCTGCGCCAGGAGGCCCGGGCCAGGTCCAGGGGGCGCGGGCACCGGGCTAAAGTCCTGAGGGGGCCCGAATGCCAGCGGGACTGGGCTGGCAGCGGGGGCCGCGGGGCCCGGGCCGTAGGCGGCGGCCCAGTCGTCCTTGGGTGCAGAGAAGGGCGCGCTCCACGCCGTAGGGGGCGCGGGGGTCGGCTCCACGTGAGAATAGCTGGTGAAGTCGGGGTACTGCGGGGGCCCGGGGGGCGGGGGCGGAGGCCCGTAGCCTTGAGGGCCCAGGCTGAGACTCGGGGGCCTGGCGGGGCCAGGGTACACGGGAGAGTCCTTGTCCAGCACATAGCCCACGTACATGGTGGCCGCAGGGCCCCCCGCGCATGCTGGGCCCTGGAGCCGCCGCTGCCGGCCGCCCCGACGAGCAACAGCTCACCTGAACTCGCCGGCCCTGCCGCCGGGCCGCCCCACCCAGGCCTTTTATAGCCCCAGGCCGCCTGCGGCCCCAGCCGAGGCGGGTTTGCATTTCAAAGCGGGGGGAGCCTCCGGGTCTCGAATCAAAGGGGGAAACCCGTCGGGGGCGGGGGGTTCAAAAGGAGACAAATTGCCGCCCCAAGCGGGAGGTGGACGGGCCGGGGCCTGGAGGGATGGGGGCGTGGAGGGCTCATCCTGGGCGAGCGTCGAGGCACTTTAGGTATGGGAGTCTCCTACGAGGTCGGCGGCCTAGCTGCTTGGACACCTCGTCTTCCCCCAGGATAAAAGAGATCCCAGGGGCTGCAGGGGGGACTTCAGGCCAGCGTCACACAGCCACACCAGGCCTGTAGTACACTCCGCAAAGTGACAGCTTGAGGTGAGGGGCCAACTTGACTTCAAACAGGGTTCCTGTCTGTAAGGTAGCAGGGTCCTTAATCTTTTGGGGCAGGGGTCACGACCCCTCTGAGTCTCCGATGAAAGCTGTGGATGTTTTTACTGAGAAGATGCACATATACGCCTGACGAAGTCTGCATACAATTGGAGAGTTGGCCTGCGTTGGCTGGAGAAAGTTTGAAGGAGATGGGGTAGGGGCATTCGCGGGGGCAGGGGGGGCCAATCTGAGGAACTTTTCAAAATTCTGTTGACGATTTCTTACATCTCCTCTTTATTTTAACAAAAACTTTCAAATGTACACAAAAGTAGAATTGTATAGTGAACTGCTATGGAAGTATCACCGAAGATTTTGTCACTTATTTCATCTCCTCCCTTCCTTTTTTGGCTAAGTATTTTAAAACAAATATCAAACATCATGTCATTTTACCCTACATACTTCAGCATGCATCTCTAAAACACGAGGACATTTTTCTTACATAATATATCATTATCACATCCAACAAAATTAACGCAAATTCCTATTATCTAGCACCCGGTTCATATTCGAAGTACTCCAGTTGGTTCAAAACTGTCCTTTTTAACAGCTGGTTAGTGTGAACTAGGACCCTAAAGCCCTGGTCTATTTACTACAGCTGGGGCTCCCTGAGTATTTTAAATGCATCCTGCATTCCCCCCTCCCCCAACTCAATTAAAGACTAGCACACATTTCACAGCTACCCAAGTGGGGCGTGGGGTAAACAGTTGAGGGGCCATGAGTAAACTGGGAGTGGGGAGCAAGGTTGAGGGATTTGGGCAAGAATTCATGAAGGTCGGGGATCTGGGGCATAAAGCCTGGAAGAGAAGGGTTCTTTCTCCACAAGGGGTTCAGTGTCAAAGAGCTTCTCAGAAGCCCCTTAAGGGAGTTGAGCCTCTGATATGTCTTGGGGGGGCCCCTAAATGTGCAGGGACATGTGGTCCCCAGAGGTGGACAGAATCAGGGTCTTAGCTATGTAACCTGTCTCTCCCTTGAGTCACCACACTGGCCGGAGAGGTCAGCATCATCTCAGGGCTAGACAGATGTGTCAGGATCAGGACATGATTTACAGGACTCAGCCCAAAATGGCAGTGTGAGATTCCAAAAATTATTAAGAATTTCAAGGTGGCAACAGCAGAGTGTTCAACCAAGCATGGGGCCCTTCTAAACACTGGGCCCTGTATAACTGTACAGGTGACCCACCCATCAAGCTGACCCTGGTATAAATTTTGTTCTCATACAGAGCCAGGGACAGTAAGCCCAGGGCTCTCGTTCCTGCTCAGAGGAGTTCTTTCTATTGTACAGGTGGAAGCTCTGAGGCCCAGAAAGAAAAGAAGCTGTGCCCAAGTATGTACGGCAATATGAAGGCTGCTCTTGAAGAGGGGAGAGGGGCCGCCTGGGTTGTGGCTGACATGGACGAGCACGTGGCTGCCTCTGCAGGGAAGGCACCCTTTCCTGTGTCCGGAAGTGGACGTGTTGGTGAAATTTTACTCAGAAGTTATATAGAGTGCTGGGCTCCACTCAGGACCCAAGCGTTCAAGGGGTCAGTGAGAAACTGGGAGGTATACAGAGAAAGGAAGACCTGGCTTTACTCTCCGAAGTGACGTAACAGGGACTGTTCAGACTGGAGAAAGAGGAGACCTGGAGTCAGGCTTGAAGGTCTGAGTTTGGGGAAGGGGACAGGGTAGAGGTGGAACCTGAGAGAAAGAAAATTTCAGACACAGACACAGACACAGACACTCATAATAAAGAGCTCTCTAAAGGGGCGTCTATCAGGAAATGAAAGAGAATGAGCTCACCATCACGGGAGGCATGCAAACGACCGCTGGAAGTCCTCTGTCAGGGCTGCTGTAGAAAGGATGCTTATCCTGGGGAAAGTGGGAGTGGGAAGGTTGGTGACCTCTTATTCCAAGAATATGCTAAATCAGATGTAGATGGAAGGCTTAAAGGTTGGGAATAGGTATAGGAATTCATTTGTTCAGTGTTTTCATTCATTTGACAAGTATGTATTAGTATTTCCCTTTTGTGCTGATACTGTGTTAGGTACTGGGTGAGACACTGCCCTCAGAATGCTTATAGAATGAGAAGGTGGAGAAGCAGATTTGAATCAAATAATCACAAAGGTAATATTGCATCTTGGTGAGGCCTAGGAATCCTGAGATTTCACCCAAAGGGAAGAGACATGGAAGTCTTACAAGAGGAAATGACATGTGAATCGAGGCCCCGGGAGTGGGGAAGGGCATTGTGGGCCGAGCAACAGTGGCCTGTGGGAACGTGGGGTCCCCTAGAACTGAAAGACTAGTTTGGAGTTCAGTGATGGGGAAATGAGCGGGGGAGCGGGACGTGAGTCTGGAGAGGGGCAGAGTAAGGCCCAGTGGGCCAGGCCTGATGAGGGGTGTGGGAAGTTGTTATCAAAGGTTAGAGCGGGAGGATAGCTGTGGCTGGTGAAGAATGAGCCAGAGGAGGGGCAGCTGCAGGGAGAGCAGCACAAAAGCTGGGCAGGGCTCCGGGAGCAAGGAAGACTGTGTCTAGGACTTGGGTGGTGGCCGAGAGATGGGGGACTTTCCAGGCAAAGCAGGGACGATTTCCCCGATCAGGGAGACTGCAGAGCCAGAGAGCCCTGAGGCAGGGGGAGCCATGCCAGACGCTCCGTGGTCCCTTCAGTGCTGTCTTTTCCTAGGGTGGAGGCTGGGTGTGCCTCCCACTCCACAGACACTTCCTGGAGTGGGCCTCCCCCATTCCTCCACGCCCATCCCACCACACCCCTCGCCTTGGGCCTGCTCTTCCTGAGCTCTTGGTGTTGGGAAGGGTGGGGCAAACTAGTCCCATTCACTGAGTGAGGAAAGGAAGCACAGAGAGGTCCAGATACCTGGCCAAGGTCACACAGGTAACAGGACCGGGCACAGAAGCTGGGTCTCCTGATCCCACTGGCCTTTCTCTCTGTCCAGCCAAAGTGCCCTATGGGAACTCGGCCCAATCCTGCTGATCCTCCAACCCACCTAGGGTAGGAAAGCAGGTGCATCATAGGTTTTGTAGCATCCTAGCCATGGAAGATCCTTAGAGAGCCAACCCGCTCACTTTACAGATAGGGAAACTGAGGCCCAGAAGCCTAAAGAAAGTATTTTTTTTTCCCCTAAGTTCCCACGGCAGGTCAGTATTGTACTGGAAATAGACCCAGGTCTGCTGACTCCCAGCTCCATGGCCTTTGACTGCATCTCTCTGAGATTTCAGGGTTTGACTCTTTACCTCTGCTGGAGTAATAATAATAGCATCATTATTTAATGAGCACTTACTAAGTGTCAGGCATCATGCCAAGTCATTTGCATATATAGGGTTTTTGGAAGTTCGCTTTATGCCACTTGGCTTTTATGATAGACCTACATTAGTACCTGTTTTTGCTAATCAAAAGAAATCTGAAGAGGATTTTCGCTTTTGCAAAGAAAGGCAAAAGGCAAAAATAGCAATTCAGTTTGTTTGCAGTGAGCAGAGCATACCTCAAACAGTGAGTGGCCCCACCAAGCTCCTTCCTCTGGAACCACACTCAGCATCTCAGCATCAAGCCGCCATAGCTTTGAACTGTGTCCATGTGCATCTGTGCTCCATCTCAACTTATTTTGTGCATCCATTAGCAAGATGTGTCCCAAGATAATTGCTTTTTTGCTTTATGCCATTTCTGCTTATGTAACGTTTCATAGGAATGCTCTACTTTTAGATCGTGAGGAGACCTGTATTATCTCAGTTCATCCTCAAATAGCCCAGTGAGGTAGGGTTGATTGTTATCTCTATTTTGCAGGTGAAGCACCTGGAGCTCAGAGAAGTGGAATCACCTGCCTGAGGCCACCCAGCAAGTCAGTGGCCTATCTGGAAGTTCTTTCTTTTCCAGCTGAGACCTCCTAGGAAGGCAGTGAGCCTGTGAGTGCCTCTACCCTCACCTCCACCCCACCCCCGGGGTTTTGCTGAAACGAATACCTGGTTCTTCTTCCTCCCTTGGCTTCATCATGCAAAAGAGCCTCAGCTCTCCCCTCAAACTCACCCCTCGATGGACCACCCAGCAATCAGAGACCTGAGCCAGCCTTGATGTGACCTTCCCCCTTTTGAGGTCACTGTAACCTTCTTTAAAAGTCCCAAACTCGGCGTCTGAAATTGCAGGTCCTCCCCCACCTTGGCCTTTGACTTGCCCTTGCCTCCCTGGGCCTCAGTGTCCCCATGTGACCACTAAGGACTGGGTGTCTCAGACAGTGGTCCAGCCTTGGCTCTGTGACAATGTGTGGGTGTAGAAGCACCACCCGCTTCCAGCCACCCCCCAAGTCAGTCGCAGCCTCTTCCTCTCTGACAGCCCCTTATCTCTGGGAGCGGCTGTTTATTGGATCCCTCCTTCCCTCTGGCTCCTCGGGTGGGCCCCTCTTCCCTCTGGAAGTCCTCCCTCTGGGCTGCTCTCACACACCCCTACCAGGGCCTCCTGGGGTGGGGTGCAGAGACGATGGCCTCATAAAGATCTTCGTGATAACTTGGTTTTAAAATCAGGTTTATGGCCCTACTAGAGAAAAGGTTCTGGGCTCAGCTTTCTGTTGGA